GTCTCATTTTAAACTAAATCAGAATTTCTGTTCTTAGAACCTGGAAATCAGCATGTTGACTGAAGTCTGTGTGTGATTCTCTTGCAGTCTGAGACTGGACCACCATGTTTAGGAGCCAGGGACAGAAATTAAAATAATTTTTTTTTTGTTTCCTCTTGTCTAGTCTTTGGATGGTTGGCTAAAAATGCCATTCATTTCTCATGGTAGAACTATCTTCCATTGCATGCTAATTCCAAGCAATAGAAAATAGAAAGCATCAGTCCTTGGAAATTGGAAATAAAGTCACCATTTCCAAAGGGATCGGTCATTTGGATGAGCATGAATCATGCTCTAAGGAGGATGAATTAATTAATTCAAGATGAATTAATTAACATGCCTTCATATTACCTTTTGGGTTTGGTTTTAGGAGGAATTGAGAGGGGAGAGAGTAGTTTATGTTGACCGAGAACACAAATTGTCTTGAAATTTCTGATTAGCTTAGTCTCTTTTGTGCTGCTGTAATAGGATGCCTGAGATTGGGTTATTTATAAAGAACAGAAATTTATTTCTTTTAGTTCTGAGGCTGGGAAGTCCAAGATTGGGCACTGCACCTGGGATCTGGTGAGGGCCTTCTGAGCTGCACCCTCACATGGTGGATGGGGGAAAGACAATAGGGACAAATACACAGCAGAAGGTCCTCAGATAATAAGCCCACTCTGGCAAACCCCTTTTATAGGGGCGTTAATTTATCATGAGGGCTCTGTCATTAGACCTCATTTCCCAACACTATTAATAAGTTTCAGAAGGGACAAAATCCTTCAGAAGGGACAAAAAAACTGATTATATGAACAATATTTGAGTCTCCTTGAAATTTATAGTGATAGTAATAAATACCATGGATATTACATCTTTTTTTTATACTAGACACTTCACTATGACTATCTTCACATTGTCTAACTCAGTCCTTAAAATAATCCTATGAAAAGTTATTATTTTCAGAAGAGGAAATGTGTGTTCAAAAGTTAAGTGACTTGCCTTGAATGACACAAGATATGGATGTGAGTCTTGAACCTAAGGTTGCCTGACTCCAAAACATTTATTCTTATTGATTACATTCCAGGTTTTTTTTTTCCCCCAAGAAATCTTCTGTTTTGCGAGATTGCTGGAACCCCAACTAAAAGCCATCATTAGTGTTGCAAACCTAAGTCAACACTGAGAAGCACTCTTCCTAAAACACAGTAATGGTGGTCTGTGAATTCACCTTGATGGAAATTCATCAAGTGGAGCATTAGGCCTATTATCTGTTTATTTTTGTATGGATAAGTTTGCTAAAGTGTATGAGGATTGACCTTATGCCCCAAATTTATATTTCTTAAAAATTAAAGGGCTCTGGGGCTGGGGATGGGGCTCAAGTGGTAGAGCGCTCACCTGGCATGCGCGGGGCGCTGGGTTCGATCCTAGCACCACATAAAAATAAAGATGTTGTGTCTACCAAAAACTAAAAAACAAATATTAAAAAATTTCTCTCTCTCTCTCTTAAAAAAAATTAAAGGGCTTTTTTTTTTTTTTTTTTTTTACTACTATTATTTTAAAAAGCCAACCAAAAATGAGGTCCTTATTCTTGTGACTTTCCATGGAACAACCTCGATGTTCCCCTTGTAGAGTGTGCTCTGGGAAGGACATGTGGAGCAGGACCCACCTGCTGCCCACTGGACTGATTGCTCACCCCATGTATGAAAGAGCACTCATCCGTGGCGTTCTGTTTTGGATGTTAAGTGTTTCCCCAAGGCTCCTGTGTTGGAGGCTTGTTCCCCAATCTATGACACTATTTGGAGGTGTTGGAACCTTTAAGAAGTGAGGCATTAGTGTGAGGTATTCAGGTCACTTAGAATGTACCCTCCAACATGCTAGTGGGACCCCAACCCCTTCTTCTTGCTCCCTTTTGCTTCCCATCTGTGAGATGAGTGGTTTTGCTCTACCATATGCTCCTGCCGTGATGCCATCACATGCCACCATGATGCCCAGGGCAACCCCAGTTATAGACTGAAACCTCTGAAACTGTGAAGCAAAATAGATTTTTCCTCTTTCTAAATGGATTGTCTCAGCTATTTTTCACAGTGACAGAAAGCTGACGAACACAAGTGGTCAGGAGTTTTGTTTTCTAGGGAGCTCTGTCCCTAAATAACTGTTACTTGGGCAAGTCAATTTACCACTTCTGGTCCTCAGTTTCCATACATATTCACTGAAGCAGAGGCTGCAGAATTCTCTATCTAACATGTCCTGATATTGGAAAACAAATGTCACCCAGGGAGCTAGCAAAGAGAGTGTTGTACCCTTGTTGCCAGCACCATTACTACTGTCCTCACCAGTCCAGGATGGTCAAAGGGTGGGCTACCCTGGACACTTGTCTTCTGAAGCATCTGCTGTCCCACTGGCTTCCAACCTGCCTTCCTTCTGGTCCTGAAGTTGTTAGACTCTTTTCTCTTGAGGAGATAGTCATAGTTGGTTTCTAGCCTCATCTTCTTCTGTATTTCTTGTTGGGGTGGATGAAAATCCCGGATCTTCAAAAATTCAACGTACAGATTATTGCTTTTAGTAATGCCAATCACCCATTCACATCCTACCTCTTCTATGGGCTAGACCTGCCTGGGCCACTTGGGTGACAGCATGGCTATAATATTCATAGGGATCTGAAGCTGAAGGGACTTTATGTGCATCTAGTCCAACTCCTTTATTTAGCTGTTGAGATGGGAGGCCCAAGTGGGAAAGTGACTCATCTCAAGGACACCCAGCCAGTGAATGAAGGAGTTGACACAATGTTTTCAAATTCATATTGTGAGCCTAAGGATAGAACCTACCCTCCTAGAATTATTGCGGAGGTATTTAAATGAGCTAACGTGTGCAAAGTACTTTGTTCCTGAGATAGAGAACAAGTTGCTCCCTCCCCAGAATGCACCGCTCATGTTTCCACAGAAGTCTCCTTAGTTGGAAAGACTGACTTTGTTATTCCTTTACTCCCCGGAGCACCATCACATCCAGGAGTAAACCGAGCAGTTTACTCATTGTGCTAGTGATGAAGTCTGACTTGGCCCATGCTGTGTACTCAAAGAATGTTTGGGGTGGCTGCCCACTAGAACCCAACCCTCCTGACTCTTAATCCAGAGCTCTTTCCATTATACCATGCTGATTGACACATGGGTGGGGATGATCTCCTTTGCAATACTATGAATACCAGCATGATGACAGATGCCTGAGAACACATGGGGCCACCATCCCAGTATATCTTAAGTCTGTCAATGCAATTTTATTATCAAGCATTTATCAAGACTCCTACATGCCAGGAGCTTTGCTTACTGCTGAGATGAATATAAAAATGAATAGGATACAGACCCTGCCCTCAAGGAGCACTTAATTTGATAATTCAGACAGACTTAGACATAAATAATTCAAGCATAAGGCACATAATAATCTATGACTACTCAATTTTCTTTCTTTTATCCCCCCACATTTTTATTGGTGTATTATAGTCATGTGTAATGGTGGGATTAATTATTACATATTTGTACATGCACACAAAATAACAATATAATTTGGCCAATATCATTCCCCAGTATTTCCCCTTTCCTTCCCCCTTTCCCTCCCCATGGTCCCAGTCATTTATTCTACTGATCTTCTTTCGATTTTTCATGAAACCCCCCTCCCCCATTTATTTTTCTTTTTCCTCTCTAGTTTTCAAATATGAGAGAAAAAATGACCCTTGACCATCTGAGATCGGCTTATTTCACTTTAATATAATGGTTTCAAGTTCCATCCATTTTTCTGCAAATGGTGTAATTTCATTCTTCTTTGGGCTGAATAAGGGTTCATTGTGTATATACACTGCATTTACTTTATCCATCCATTGATGGCACCTAGGCTGGTCTACTGACTAATATATATATATGAAAAGGAAGAACAGGAATTGAGACCTCATCTGTCAGACATGGTGGGAGAGGGTGCCAAAGGTACACCTGGTTAGAGGGACTCCACCACAAGTCACATGCTGGGTGTCAGGAGGGACAGGGGTCCCAGACCCTCAGGCACTCCAGCTTTACGAGCTCCTTGCCCCTGAATGCTGGTGACATAGCTGGGCCCCTGTCTTGCTCCAAGCTTCCATTTCCTTAGCGGCTGTGAAATGGGACAACATCTCCTTTCTTCCTCTGAGCTTGATGGGGACCAGAGTGTCATTTGGTCTAGACCTTTGCTTCCCGGCAGGATGGGCCTCACCTGAGCAGACATGCAAGAGTCTGCACGCCATACAGAGAACAAGGAATTGACCTCCTTTTCCTCTCTTCTTTCTGTTTTGGTGGTGGAGAGTGGGGGTGGGGGTCGAGGATAGTGTGGGGGAGAAACAGGGCGGTGAGGGGACTTGTAGGTCAGAGCTTGACAAGGGGACTTAGGTGACCCAGGGAAAATATGGCCTTGCTCTCCACTGGCAGAGTCCCAGGGAAGTTCTCACTGTTCCCCACCTGTCCTGTGCTCCCCCCTCTCCCCCAGTGCTGCTGTCCCTGCATGCACGGAACAGGGAGGCGATGATGAATATCCCCCGAACGGCATTACAGACAGTCATAAATAATGCTTTGCTCTTTGGTGACGGCACTTTCCATTAGAGCTGCCTGTGCTGGGCTGTTGCTACCCCCAGTCTTTGCTGGGGACTTGCAGTAAAATTTATCAGCGAGCTTTCTGCACCTAATAAATCATCCCCTCCGGGAGCCATCTGGCAGATAAGGCCACGAGAACCCACATGCTCTGCAGAGGCAGAGTCAGAGTGAGAGGCAGCCCTAGCTGGGCAGCCCCAGGCCCTGTGGAGGGGGACTTTCTCTCCACCAGCCAGAGCCTGTCAGTCTTGTCCTGGCTTCTCTCACCAGACTCTGAAGGGGGGACCCTGGCTATGGCGTCTGTTCTGCTTTAAGGAACTATAGGGTTTCCCACTCTGGGAACAGGCCCACAAATCATGTCCTTCCTGTGTTTTCTACCCTTAGGTGTACAAAAGGTTCTGGGATTTGATACGAGGCAACAGAAGAGGGACTCCCAGGCCAAGAACATGCGGTGCTGGCTGTCACTGCTATTTAAGTGAGTCCTTCTTAGTGGGTTTTAGAACTTTGGGATTGGTCAGCATTGAAATACATAACCTGGTAGCAATGAGAACCCCTTAATTTGGAGCAGAACTTCACATCTGTTTTAGGTGGAGGGTACTAGGGAACTCAGGGGCACTAGACCACTGAGCCACATCCCCAGCCCTATTTTGTATTTTATTTAGAGACAGTCCAACTGAATTGCTTAGTGCCTTGCTTTTGCTGAGGCTGGCTTTGAATTCATGATCCTTCTACCTCAGCCTCTTGAGCTGCTGGGATTGATTATAGGTGTGAGCCACTGCACCTGGCAGAACTTCACATCTTTTGAGGCACAACTAACATGATATTATAGTTTTCCTTCAAATATGTATTAATTCCTATGAATATACATTAAGGGAGGTTCTAAAGGGTGCTGGACCCAGAGTGTAGGGACACATACATTAATTCTTTCTTTTTTGGCAGATGGTGGTATTTATTTATTTTCTATTTTTTTTTGTTGGTGGTGCATTCCAGTTGCACATAATGGTGGGATTTGTTGTTACCTATTTGCACATGCACACAATCTAACAATATAATTTGGCCAATATCATTCCCCAGAACACAGTTCTTTCCTTGAGGCATCTGCAGTGTGGTTAGAGACTGTTTTAAGCCAAAGTCTCAGATGCAGTGATCCTTACATCTACGCTCAGAGCAAGATGCAGCATTTGCTGGATGTGAACCCTGACGGGGAGGAATGGAAGAGTGGGTGGGTTTCTGGTCTTGTGGTATTCCCCAGAGCCTAGCAAAGTGCCTGGTGTGTAGTAAGTGAACTGTGAACTGTGCTGAGCAGCTAAGGCCACCAATATACAGTAGAAGATGAGAATGAAATAACAAACAGGGCGAATACAGGCTCACAGAGTGTGGGTCCTGTTTCATAGGCTCAACCTGGTGATCTAGGATTTAACTGGGTGATTTAGGAACAAAATCTTGTTCTGGGTGTGTGTTACTTGTGCTCTTGGCTCAGCTCTGCAGCTGGCTTCCTGAGTTCAATTGAGGGACATTCTGAGTCTTAGTTATCTCATTTGTAAAATATTAGGCAAAGCCTTTTTTTTTTTTTTTTTGAGTAATTTTCACTATTGTTGCTAGTAGAATGTTTTCTAATTTTCCCCTTGCTGGTGCGTGATTTTGAAAGACTGGAAGGGGTAAATCCAGTCAGAGTTCTCTTTTTATGCCTTTTGGGGCCACTTGCCAACCAAGATAACGTTGAATAAGGTCCAGATGTGTGGACACCAGGCAGCCAGAGTCTGAGATCCTGGAGTTTTTTCCTGGGGGCTCATTCTGCACGAGGACACCTATCATACTGCCTCTGATTGCTGTGGACACATCCCACGGAAACATTAAATGGAGTGTCCCGAAGATGCTTAGCTTAGCTATGCATTTAATTTGGCGGTAATTGAAATTTGCCAACAAAGATTTGCATGTAATCTGTGATTTCGTTTTTCAATTAAAATCACTTCCTTCTTATGGATGGAAAGTACTTAGCTGTTTTCCTCCTCCCAGTGGTTTGCAAAAACGAATCCCCCTCTGCTTAAGAGGCTGCAGTGAGGGGTGGAGGGCAAGGAGATGAAGGCTGAGGCCAAGAGGAGAGGTCACCCAGGATGGTGATGCAGGACAGGCAGGTACTGGGGGGAGGCTGCTGGGAGGCAGGCAAAGTAGCAGTCTGAGGCTCTCTTGTTCACAGTGGTTTTGGGAAAAGAGCTCCAGCTGGGGGTGTGTATAGCTCAGAGAGCAGCCAAGGGCTGGGAAGAGCCAACCAGCTCTCCATGGCCAACATAGGCAAGTGACAAGAAGCTGGAATCAAGGCAATTGGCTTAGGTACTGGGAAGCAAGAAAGTGGTTAATCTGAAGCAAGAAGAGTCTTCTGCTTCACCCTGGGTGAGTATGTGGCCTTTGATACATGGGAGCAGCACCTGGAGAAGATACCTGAGAGGAAGCTGTGTTCCAAGGATGACTGAGGAGAGGGGAAGATAGGAAATGGAGGCTCTAAAGAACCCAAGAACCTGTGGAGGTGAGCACCTCGCAGGACATGGATCTGGACCAGTCAAGCTGGCTACCAGGGCTAGCACTTAATTTCCTTGAGTTCCAGTTTTTGTCACCATCTAATGGCATAAAATAACTCCTACCCGAGCAGGGGCTGGGAGAGACCAGCTGCTATGGTCTGAATGTTTGTATCCTCTCAAAGTTCACTTGTTGATCTGGGCATGGTGGAGCACACCTGTAATCCCAGCTGTTTGGGAGGCTGAGACAGGAGGATTGCGAGTTCAAAGACAGCCTCAGCAATGGGGAGGCGCTGAGCAACTCAGTGAGACCCTGTCTCTAAATAAAATACAAAATAGGGCTGAGGATGTGGCTCAGTGGTCAAGTGCCCCAGAGTTCAATCCCCAGTAAACCCCCTACCCCAATCCATATGTTGAAATCTAGTCCCAGGGCAATAGGATTAGGAGGTTGGGCCTCTGAGAGGTGAATGGAACTAATGCCCTGATAAAACAGGCCTGGGGGAACCCTTTTGCTTTTTAGGCCCTGTGGGGACTTAGTGAGAACACAGAAGGTGCCACCTATGATGCAGAGATTAAGACTAATTGGACACTGGATCTGCCAGCGCCTCAATCTTGGCCTCTTCCAAGTTTCCAGAACTGTAAGCAAAAGTTTCTGATATCTATACATTTCCTAGTCTCAGGTATTTGGTATAGCAGCTGTTATTGTTTGGATGTGAGTTGTCCCCCCAAAACTCACGTGTGAGACAATGCAAGAAGGTTCAGAGGAGAAATGATTGGGTTGTGAGAGCCTTAACCCAATTAGTGAATTAATCCCCTGATAGGGATTAACTGAGTGGTAACTGAAGTGGTCAGGTGTGACTGGAGGAGGTGGGAATTAGGGATTGGCTTTGGGTATATATTTGGTTCTGGCAAAGTGGTGTCTCTCTCTGCTTTCTGATCACCATGGGAGCTGCTTCCCTCTGCCACACTCTTCCACCATGCTGTTCATTCTCACCTAGAGCCCTGAGGAATGGAGCCAGCCTTCTGTGAACTAAGCCCTCTGAAACCATACGCCCTCAAATAAACTTTTCCTCCCCTAAAATTGTTGTAGTCATATCCTTTAGTCACAGCAGCAAAAAAGCTGACTAACACAGCAGTCCATTATGATTAATAGCTAAAGCAGAGTGATACAGGCTGTACATGCTAAGTCCCCAGTAAAGAGAGAACATTATGGACTGGGGCAATCCAGGAAGATTTCAAGAAGGAGGTGAGCCTTAAAAGTAGAAAAGACTGAGTTGAACAGAAGAGAGAGGAGCATTAGCCTTTTGGTCTGTGAGAGTCCTGAGTGGCAGGCTGCATCTCCATCCCTTTGTATGCTGCCTTGACATAGTAAGAATTCAGTAAATTCTGTTAAAATGGAAGATTGATCAAATGAGATAAAGAGGAAGTCAAGAGCATTTTATAAATTGTAATAGCTCATTTTTCTTCTCTTACAGAAGTATTTGACCCGAGGATGGGTGAAGCCCTGCATGGATCCTGGGATGGGTTTCTCGACTTGGGGTTTCTCTAGGAGCCTGGAGCTCTGGTGCTCTTGGGTGCTTCATAGCCAGGTCTCTCAAGTGTCCCAGCTAGGGAGTGGGGTGGTGCTTTCTGAGCCAGGACCCAGGTCCTCAGTGACCAGGGGAAGAATCATCAGTTAGCAATGGGCCAGCAATTTCTCCATAGGGAGACAGGCATTGAGAGGATTCACTTCAAAGAGACCCAACCAGGGCTCCTGTGAGGGGGACAATTTGGTTACTATAGGTGGCCTGGAGGTGGGATTTGGAGCCATGTTAAGAATTAGTGGTAGATTTCAGCCACAGTGGAAGGCACACAGCTGTGGCAGAGCTGGGTCCCTCTCTGTGGAAAGTGCATATTCTTTTTTGTCTGGTTTCTTTCAAGTAGAGATAATCCCTTTTACCTGGCCAGACAACTGAACTGTTTTCATTTTTTTTTTTATTTGGTAATAAATCTGCCAACCCTGCAGGGCTTGAGCCAAGGGCTTTGCTTTCTGCATCTACACAGAGGTCTCATAAAAATGGTGTAAAATGAAAGAGAAAAATGCATATTTCACACTTTGTCTGCTCTGGGTTATGGCGATTCTCAACTCATCCCCATTACAAACAGCTGACCTTCCCACAGAGTTCAAGTACCTTCTGCCGGGCCTGGAAGAACCATATCTCTCTGTCTCTCTCTCTCTCACTGTCCCTCCTCCCTCCCCCACAGGCACACTCATTTGCCTGAGAGGAAGCAGAGGCTGTTGGTAAGTCTACAGTGCTGGTTTAGTGTTTTCCAGGAGGGAAGTGGCATAAAAAAAACCCCCAGTGCACCCTTGTTAACTGTGTTCATGCACAGGTAGGGGACAATGTCTCCATTACTCGCCCTCCATGCAAATTTATGCCAGAAACATGAATATAGGCTTTCCTTCTATTGAAGGCTACAGGTAATTTTCAACTATCAACATTATTAGTTTGCTCAATATTCAAAGGAAACAACCTTCCCAAGTTTACCTGCCTCTGTTCCCTTATGCTAATCTGCCCATCAGTCCAAATGGTCGCTTCCCAAACACGCCATGTTTGTTCCTATTTCCTGGCTTTCCCCCAACCTTGCTCTCTGTCCCATTCAGTTTTCCTGCATTGCGCCTGCTCCTCTCTCTTCTGTTCAACTCAGCCTTTTCTACTTTTAAGGCTCACCCCCTTCTTGAAATCTTCCTAGATTGCCCCAGACCATAATGCTCTCTCTTTACTGGGGACTTAGCGTGTACAGCCCATATCACTCTGCTTTAGCTATTAATCATACACTGCTTTTTTGACTTTTTTTTAAAAATAAGGAATTGTTGTTTTCCTATTTACCTATCATTTTCTTATTTAACCTTTCTTATTCTGCTATTGATCTGTAATGTCTTATGTATTTTCTTATTTAACCTTTCTTATTCCACGATGAGTTTATAACATCTTATGTATGTCTCTGTACTTTACAGCGTCAAACACATAGCTTTTGCTGTTTAGTAAACAGTAGGTGCTTAATGGATATTAAACAAAATAAGTGAGTGAATGGAAGCTCCCACTTGGGGTGTGAGTGTGGCTGTGATGATGTGGCCTGATCTTTTTTCTTGGCTGGAGCTGTAAGCAACACAATTTATGCTTGCAGGGCAAGGGGAGAATCTTGACCTGGGGGAATGCTGCCCAGGGGATGCCTACCAGCCGTTTCCTCTTGTTTGGATGATGTTGGGCAGTGGGTAGCTGTTGGGTGTCCGTGACAGCCCCACTCACACTGTGTGGACCTCGCATCCCCACGTCTGCGATACATAGACTGTTGAGATTTTTATGGTAGTGAGAACAACTAGTACTGCTTGCTGTGCCCCCTCCCTCTGTGTCTTCCCCATTCCTTTCTCCGTCCCTGTATGCTCCCCACGTGCAGCCTGTATTTAATTTAGAGGAGGGAATTAGTAATTCAATTTTCTTTCAAATCTGTGAGTGCCGCTGCCGCCTGCCATCTTGCTCTGCCTTTGCTTTGTGCTTCCCACCTCAAGGCCACTTTACGGATTTGTTTGATTTGTGGTTGTGGTTTGTAGCTGTCACCGATTTCTTTGTTGTTGTTGTTGCCTGCTACCGTTTCCTTGCAGCTCGATTTTTAGCTGAGTGTTTGGGTAGTAAATATGGTTTACACCAACTCTGTTGGAAATAATGGCATTTATGTGCTGAAAGTTATTTCCAAAACCTGTGATATGTGTATACAAATAGATCCACGGCAGGGCCCCTAGACTGGGGAGAACAAAAACTCAATAAAGCCTTCGAGATGGAGTATAAACAGGTGTCTGCGAGCAGGGCTAGGCCAGGAGGTTCAGGGAAAAACAACCCCCCGCCCCTGATGTTGGCTCTAAACTTAAGCTTTACCATAAATACCTTGCTTAGCATTGGGGGAGGTAAAAGATATCTTTGTGTTCATATTTACCTGCTCAATGCTCACTTGCATTCTTTTGAACATCTCACATGAAACTTCTTACTTTTCTATTCACTCATTCGCAATGGCATTACACCTTAATTGCTGTGGATCCTGGTATGGAAAAAAACGTGCCAAGAAACTATGAGATTGGCCTTTCAAACTGGAGGCCCTCTCTTCTTCTAAATGGCTGATAGTCTGGGGGATCTTTGGCACACTAAATGAACCTTACCGTTGTGAACAATGCCGCTTGAACTCTAATTTGACATTCTCCTAATCCTAATGGAGGGCTGAAAATGGAGACAGAGAACTCCCAGAGGGAAAGCCAGATTGCTCTTAACCATGTGGTTCTAGCCTCTGAATTTGGGAAGTATGGGTTTCTTCCAGGCCTAGATTCTTGACCCCTCCCTGCCTCATCCCCATGTCTGATAACTGTTCAGAAGTAGGGCCCTCACCTCCACACTAGGTGAATGTCTTCCTTGCCAAGAGGTCAAGAACTGTTTCAAAGACGTCTTGGCTCTCTGGTGCTGAATGCTGCGTGACAAAGGCATAGGAAGGGTGTTTCGATTGTTCTCTAACTTGTAAATGCCAAGCAGAAATCTTGTTGCAGTTCCTAAATGCCACATTTCGGCGTGTTTATTGTTTCCCCCCCTAACGGGGAAAGATGGTGAATGGACTAATAATTCAGGAGCCGAGAACATGTTTATTTGATTTTTAGAGCTTTAGCAAATACAGTGTGTACAAAACCCGGTGCCAACAGCATGCATAATTCCTCCAGGAATGGGGCTGATAGAAACACAAAGCTTGCATGCTTCAAAACTGTAACCAATATTTACACATCTGAGTGACTAATTCTCCACTCTGAGCAGGAGAACAATAGGCATAATAGTCAGGTACATTAATGCAGAGCATGCTCGTCTGGTGACTTGGATATTTGACACATAAACAAAGTTGGGGGGGAGCGGCGTGGGGGGAGATGTGGCGGCTTTTTATCTACCTGTGTAACCATACACCAAACAGCAGGCTACAAACACGCTCAGAAAATGCTGACCCAATGCTGTTCTTGTACCTCAGATGCAGGATTGGCACATGATTTGCAGCGCTGCGGGAGTTCTGTAGCTGACCTCATTAGCGGCGCGTTTCCTGGCTTGTTAGCATCATATTTGTATAATTTACAACACCTTCGTTTTTATGGAATGTGTTTCTTGTAGAGTGTAATGGCAGCAATATATTTAACCTATCGTATTTAGGAATGCTTTTGCTGGAGGCAGCCTGTAGATATAAAGGGGACATTTTCTCCTCTCCTACATGGGCCTTTTTCTCGTTTTGGCTCACTAGGCTGCCACATGTGTGTGTGTTTGCATATGTGTGTGTATGTTTATGTGTGATTACACACCTAGGTACAAGAGTCTGAAGGGCACGAAGGGGTCCTGAAGGTGTGACTCTTGCTTCCAATGGCAGAGGCCACTTTAAGGACTGTCCTAACTTTAGCCATCTCCAAGGTGTGGCTTTGAATGGGGTGGATCTTATTGGTGTAGATGCATTGCTTTTGAGAAAATGAACTTGCAAAATGGAAAAGGGAATTAGGCAGGTTAGATATTTGGGAATAGTTTTTTTTTTTAAATTTAATTTTTTTAAATGGGGACGGGGTGGTTGGAAGACACTAATAAGTAAGTTGGCATAATGTGAATTTTCCATCTCCACCACCTTCTGGGGGCTTTTACATATGAGGTTAGGATGGAAAGACGGAAAGTGCGTGTCACTCAGGGGTGCATCCTGACTCTAATGAACTCTTATCTCAGGGAAAAAAATAAGAGTCTATGAATAAGGATGGGCATACTCTTTTTTTTTTTTCCAAAGCAGTGTAGAAAAGGTAGAAATGTCTGGGATTAAGCCTTTGAGAAGAGGACCGTGTCTTGATTTGAATGTCTCTAGAGTCAGGACAGCTGATCCCAGTCTCAGCCTGTAAACCGAGGTTGGGACTGGGTGGTGTCTCTCTAGAATGTGAGGTTTCTACACCGCAGGTCCCTTGTCTCCTCTGTTCCTGAAGGGAGATGAAGACTGAAGGCTGGGGTGTCACTCATGGAACTTTGAACTTGGATCCAGGATAGGCAAGCACAGTTCTCCAGGAGCTACCGGTGTGTCTCAGGTCCCTCTTCTGATAGGAGGCAAAGAGGGTGAACAGACTCATGATTCAGAAACCAAGGACACGGTAGGGTGAATGTTAGAACTTAAAACTGTCACCAGGCACCAGGCAGTGCACAATCACTTTTTGGCCTCAATGAGAAACTTACTCCAGGGGTAAGATAAATAGGTAGGCTCTGGACTGTGTCAACCCTCCAGAGATTGATAAGGAATGCAGTAAATCTATGAAAATGACCAGAGGCACTGGGACAAGCTTTTTCTAACTGGCTAGTCAGGTGAGGGTTCTTGAACCTTCCCTTCTCCCCCAGCTTTGAAAATTTCAGGATTTTTTATGCTTCTGATATCTTTTCCAGTAGTGATACTACTTCTCATTGGTTTAGAAAGATCTGGGCTCTTGGTTTTACTTAATAGGTATGGTCATCCATACAGGGGTTGGTTCCAGGATACAAAAATCCTCAGGTGCTCAAGTCCCTCATGTTTGGCTGGGGATGTGGCTCAAGTGGTAGTGCGCTCACCCGGGTTCGATCCTCAGCACCACATAAAAACAAAGATGTTGTGTCTGCCAAAAACTAAAAAATAAAATATTAAAATTCAAGTCCCTCATGTAAAGTGGTACAGTATCTGCATATAACCTATGCACATCCTCCTTATGCTTTAAATAATTTGAGATTATTTTATAATACCTAATCTAATGTAAACACTATGTAAATAGTTGTTATTTACATTATTTAGGGAATAAAAACAGGGGAAAAAAATCCGTACGTGTTCAGTACAATTTTCCCCCTGAATATTTTCAGTCCGCAGTTAGTTGAATCCATGGCTGTAGAACTTGTAGATACAGATGGCCAACTGTATGTCCCTGAAACCCTGGAGTGGCTATGCTCTGTGATAATAATTCAGCATGTTAAGTATATTTATATCCAAAAATTGAATCTCAATTTATATTCAAAGTTTAAATGCACCAGGCTTGCTGGCCGTTTGAAGGTACTTAGTGGTAATGAATCCTTTGATTAAAAAGAAAAATTGTTTTGTAAAATCTCTAGTTTCAACAATTGAATCCTGAACTCTTTATTGAGCACTTATTAAGTAAGGGATATTTAAATAAGAATTGTATAAAATTCCCACCTAAAGAGAGTCTGTTCAAATTTTGAATCAGGGTTTACATGTACTTTGTATAGTCATATCAATTCATAACAAAACGTGGACGGTTTCAGCATCCTGCATCTATGAATTAGTTTGCTTTTAAGGCTTTGTGAAAGATAGATAGTTACTATATATGTATATTCAAAAATTTGTATTAGTTTCGCTTGACTGGTTTGATAACCAGCTTGTCTAAAGTGATGATAAAGAAGGGCTCTGCACCTGGACTCAGATTCGTGGAACGGAGATACTGCTGCATATGCTCTTCCCACTCTCTTAAAAGAGAAGTCATCTTTCCCCAGTTCTCTCTGTGGCCATTTCCTCTACTTGGCTCTAGAACATCCATTCTTTCTCAACTCTTGTGATCTAGAACTCTGGATTCTATTCATGCTGTCCTTCCTGTTTAGTGCTTAAATATATCCAAATCTCTCCATCTTACAAAAACACTGCCTATGCCACAAGCTCTAGATCAACTCCCTCTTCCTGTCTCTTTCCGGCCACCCTTATTCCTGTTTTGCAAGTTGTTATTGTTTTTTGAGGTACTAGGATTTGAACTCAGGGCCTCATGCTTGCTAGGCAAGAGCTCTACCACTGAGCCACACCCCCAGCCCATCTGTCTACCCTTTCTGAGTGGCTATGGCAGGCTCATCACTTTAGCTGTCTCAGCCCACTGGTGTATGGCTTCTGCTCTCCTCTATGCACTGAAATTGCTCCCCAAGGCTGCTGAAGAGCTCGAAGACATTCAAGCTAACAGACACTCATCTTGTGTGCATGCCCCCACAGTTGATGGCTCCCTTCTGGAACATCACATTCTCCTGGGCTCTGCTAACCTTTCTTGTCATTTCTCAGTTTGCTTTGTTAGCTTAGGGTTTGGTACCCGTTCCTTTTATTGGGGTCCTCTGGGTTTTGACCAAGTGTCTGATTTCTCACTATTTTCTTTCTCTCTTAGACCATCTTACCCATCTGTCAGGCTTCCTTGGTCTTTAATGTGCTGCAGACTGCCGAACTCTCCTGCGTTTTTCTCTCTTTTCACTAGAAAACTCCAGTAGGCTACTTTGTTGTAACCAAGAAATTACAAAACAGAACAGGTCAAATGAGATGGGAGATTTGTTTTTCTTCCGCACCACAGTCCAGAGTTTCTGGGCATCCCAGGGAGAGAAGGGGGTCCATGAAGTTGTCCAGGGAATTAGATATTTTCTATCTTGTTGCTTCATCATGCACGATATTGTCTTTTCCATATGGAGAAAGATGTCCCTAATGTGCCATGTTCTGGTATGTATGAAGTGGGGAGAAGGCTGTGGGCAACCAGCTTCCTTGTAATAAAGTGACCCAGTAGTAAGTGGCACTTAGAAGCCCCACCCATGTGGCCATACTTAGTTGCAGCCTATACAGGGGAATGTGGTATTTTCAAGGTAACCAAAACTCAATTTAAGTGTGAAAATGAAAAGCAAAAGGATCTAGATTTTATCCAGCCTGTATTAGTCAGCTCTTCATCTCTATGACCAAAATATCCAACAAGAACAATTTAGAGGAGGAAAGGTTTATTTTGGCTCATGGTTTCAAAAGTTCAGTCCATGGTTGGCTGACTCCACTGCCCTGGGCTCAGGATGAGGCAGAACATCATGGTGGAAGGGGGTGGAGCAGGAGTGCTGCTCCTCCATTCATGGCAGCCCGGCAAACAGAGAGGAGGGGTGGGGGAAGGGCCACAGGGAAGAGGAATCCTTCCAGGGCCCGCCCCAAGTGACCCACCCCCTCCAGCCACACCCCACCTGCCTATAGTTACCACCCAGTCACTCCATTCAAACTAGGATGGACTGATTAGGTCACAGCTCTCCTAATCCAATCATTTCACCTCTGAATATCCATGCATTAACACAGGAGACACTTTATATCCCAAACCATAACAAACCCAGTAATAAGAAATTAAGTAAATCTATTAAAATGATCTGAGGCAAATGATAGGGATGAAGCTTATCTAGCTGGCTAGTCAGGTTGAGCACCTTCTTCTCATCTGCCAGTCCCTCAGAATAATTATTGAGAAAAGGGTGACCTATTTCTGCTGCAGGCTTCTCAAACTTAACATCTCCCAAACTCACCTCCTTATCTTCTCCTCAGACCTGCCCCTTCTATAGCTTTTGATACTCATCAGTCAAAAGAAAGTATCATCATTGAAAAACCCAGTTTCTCAAACCAGAAACCTGGTATTGTTCTTGAGTTCTTTTTCCCTCACTGCTGCAATCCAGTCTTTGTCTCCTTGAGTCATTTATACCTTTTAACTATTTTTAGATCCAGATACTTCTTTTTGTTCCCAGCTTGATACAAGACAGCATTGTTTCTTCCTTGGACCATTGCAGTAGTTTCTTTTCTTTTCTTTTTTCTTTTTTTTGGAAATGGGGATCGAACTCAGGGCACTCAACCACTGAGCCACATCCCCAGCCCTATTTTATATTCTGTTTAGAGACAGGGTCTCACTGAGTTGCTAAATGCCTCGCCATTGCTGAGGCTGGCTTTGAACTGGCGATCCTCCTGTCTCAGCCTCCTGAGCTACTGGGACTACAGGCGTGCACCACCGCATCTGGCTCCATTGCAGTAGTTTCTTAACTGAACTTTTTACATTTACTTTCACCCCTTTATATATGTTTTCCATCCCATTGTTGAAGTTCTATTATAAAAATGGAAATATAGTATTTTTCTTTCTTAAAAAAAAATCCTCCAATGGCTTTTCACTAACCCACATTCTTTTCATGTTCTAGAAGACCCTGCATGATTTGACCTCTGCCAGTCTCGCCAGGCTTCTGTGATTCCTGTCTGACTTTCATCATCTCTAATTCTGATCCTGGTCCTCTCTAATCCTGACATCTTGGACTTACTGTGACCCCTAACATTGGCCATGCTATGCTTTGGTTCTACTCTTTCAAACACACTTCTGTGAGAACATACCTCCTGTCTCCCTCCCTGGCTTGGCTAACTATTATTTATCGTTCAGAGAGCTCAGATCAGGGATGACTTTTCATTGAGAACTTCCTCCTTTCTTCTAGGTCCTTTACTACTCCTACAGCATCTTGTAATCCATCTTTACTAACGCTGATCAATAATTAAATGGCTGGGATCTGTATTTGTGATTATCTTATGAGCTCCAATAAGGCTGCCTGCCTTTTTTATTTGATAACTAAAACACATGAAATTGTTTGGAAAAAAGATGCTATCTTCAAATAATTCCTTCTCCTTTCCCCACTATTGCTCTGTGCAAAGATGCTATGTGATATGCATTGCATATGTGCTACAATAATAGGAGCAACTGTCTGTTCATGTAAATTACTAAGAATGAATAGTGGAAGAAACAATTAGTAATAAACACACATGATAGGTCAGATTAATTATAAAAGGTATAGCATACATTTATATGTAATTTTATAATTTTAATGCTTTTGACTTCATAATTTAATTTGATTCTTATAGGACCCCTTCGGAGATGTCAGATAAATTTTCTCCGCTTTCTAGGTGTACAAATTGAGACTCAGGTGGCTTAGGAAGATGAGGCAGGAGGATGGTGAGTTCAAAGCCAGCTTCAGCAATTTAGTGAGGACCTAAGCAACTCAGTGAGACCCTGTTTCTAAATAAAATATAAAAAAGGATGTGGCTCAGTGGTTAAGGGCCACTGTGTTCAATCCCTGGTACACCCCCCCCCCAAAAAAAAAAGGAAAAAAGAGAGACTCAATGAAGTAACTTAACCAAAGTCTTTTGTTGGGTGAATGAAGGAGCCAGAGTTTGAGTCCAGATCTGAAGGCAGACCAGGGCCTCGTCTGCAGTGTCAGTCTGTGACAGGGAACAGGAAACACAGCCATGCAACTCTTGAGCCTCTAGGTCTGATCT